CAATTGTGACACTAGCTCTCCACATATGTCAGTTGCTTAATTTAGAAACTGTACTTGTGGTCGATCTCGAACCCATTGTTGATGTGACGACTGATACTGAATTTTGTAACTAGTTCATCAAGATTGTAACTTGCTTAGCTAAATGAATTGTGGGGTTCAGTCCCTGAGCCCATTATGTGCCTCTGTAACCCTTTCCACTACCGCCCACAGGATGGGTATGGGGTGCATAATAAATGAACTAAACTAACTCTCCAGCATCTGCTATATTTCTTGACATGAACTAGTCCTGTCCCTGCTTCCCAAAGAATATCTCATTCTTCTAATTGAACGTGTAACACTACAAACAGCTTAGGACACCACGAGTATAGCTCTCTTTCTGTAAGAGAAAGAGAGCTATACTTAAGTACTGTAATTACAGTACCTAAGTACTGTAATTACAGTACCTAAGTACTGTAATTACAGTACCTAAGTACTGTAATTACAGTACTTAAGTACAGTATCCAGTACAACCTTATGCTTAAACTCTGTACACTTCATATTGTAAATCTGGAACAATTCCAACTTTGCTATTTATATTGCCCAAGATGCTGTTACAAATATAATTTAAGTTTTCCTAACTCATTTTAAAACTGTGGTGCCTGGATTAAGTAAAAATTAAAATTTCCTTATTTAAGAAAAAAAATTTCTTTATTTCCCAATCTCTCTCCAAAACAGCAAAAATGCCAACACTCATCCCATTCCTTGTCTACACTAATCATTAATTAATGATCTTTACAGAAAATTTTAGATTGCAACCTATTGCAAATCATTGCAGTACACAGATTTCCAGAATGGCTGAGGTATATCTTGGCATTTAACTTTAACACTTTCGCGCTATCTGGACGCGCCAGCGCGTTCGGTTTCGTCTAACGTAAATGCATAGTGGACATAAAGTTATGTCTACTTTTAAAATATTTGTATAAAATTCAATTTTTATCCGATTTACTTTGGGTTTGTTTCAAACTGCGCGCTATGAGGCTCTCTTTCTCACCACTAGGCTGCATGGTACAATAAGTTCATGAAAGGTGTGGATAACCTCGATCAAATGGTATTTTGTCCCAAACGGGTTGCAGATGGGTGACTTTAGCCGTTTATACTGGTAATTCTTCCCCCATATCATGTATTATATGGATATGTCTGTTTAGGGAATTTTATTCCGATCAATATACAACCAAAAATAACTGTGTGCAACAAGTATAATCTTGACAAACATAACAAAAGTAAAAATATTTCGTGTGTGTTTGGCGCTCACTGATATGTTCCAGCGTTGTTTTATATTTGTCGCTATTCTAACTTACGCTTTGTTGATATTTTTTACCTATGGGCACATAGAACATTCTATTGCGAACACATTGACATAAAAATGAATGACGTACATAGAAAATTAATGTCATGAGAGTGAAATAAGTATAAACTTTCAAAGCGCCGTGCGTCGTCCCGTCACCGATACCGGGTAACAATTTCACCACTTCCCACACTCTTGCGGGCGGGCTGCATCATTATTCTACGCTTATATTCATATCACCGTGTTGGGAATTTCATTGCGAGTCCATTGATACCAAAATTAACGCTGTAGAACAAGTGTGGAGGTGATTACAATCCCAAGAGTAAAAACATTTTGTTGCTGATGGGCGCTCACGGCGAGTCATCTACGTAGTTATTTATTTGGTGCTGGTATCCCTATATGTTTCGTGACTTATTTTACTAATGTTCTTCTAGAGAATTTTATTGCGAACACGTTGGTACCAAAATGAAATACGTAGCATGAGAACTAAGGTCAGAAGAGTAAAAAGAGTATACACATTTTTGTTTTTACGCTTAAGCGATAAAAACGCAGCGCGCACATTCGGTTGGCTGAGTGACCTTTGCGGAAAGCGCGAAAGTGTTAAGTGTATTAAAGAGGAAAGCACTAAGCCAGCATGACTTTATAGTACAATACATGGATGGGTTATGAAGACAAGGATCAGAGATAGGATGCAGGGAAGGAACAGTACCAAGTCACTTGGAGCATCAGGGATCAAATGTCAACCCACAAGAAGCAAAGCGATCACTGTAATGGCTAGCCCAAGTGGGTTAATAGTACAGTAATATAAATTATAACAAATTCTGAAGAAAAAAAATACGGCATTGAGAGAAATGAAACACTCCTTTCTGAGCAGGTCAAGCGGGTCATTCTGTTGTTACCTGAGCCAAAAGCCAAGTGATCGTTCCATGATTCAAGTCCCCTGACAGGCTCTAAAGGACTTCTTCCCTCACTATGAATAGGATTTTTTGCAAATGGTCTTGCCATGTAGTTAGTAGGAAGTTGACAGTGGAGAGTCTTACCCAATCCACCTCTGAGTGATCGCTCACTATGAGACCATCATGAAATAATTTACTCAAGAACCCCACTACAATCAATAACTGGAGTCAGCAAATCAATGCATGGGGTTTTTGGTAACTACTGGTTAGTAACTAGCTGCAACACCAACAGCAGCTAAACATTACCACCACTCACCACAAAGGAATTGGAGGAGATAGCAGCTCCCTACTGTAGAGAGCCAACATAGAAAATACAAGACCTTACATGTGGGACCTAACAATATGCATTTGTTACCATACTGATAGCACTGCCTTGCAAGCAAGTGTCTTTGGTCAAATATAAATATCCAATCGCAGGGTCTCAAAATGCCTATCATTATACAGTATATGTTAAAAAGGAAGGAAGAGACGATGCGAATAGAGCCAAGGAGGAATTCATCATCACCTACAATTTTGGGTCCATAAACACCAGTCAGGACATCTACAGGGCATCCAACACGGCACATAATCTAAGCAGCTGTAAATGAGCAAAACAAACTCAAAGTGGAAGCCATCTTTCTCTAACCAAAACAAGCAAAAACTAACACAAAGCAGAAAGACGAGCCACATAGGGAGAGAAAACCCCACAGGACTCGGGGTCAAAGGTTATCGCCAACCCAACAGGTAGCATGGTGGATGCAGAGCAAGTAATCGTTCTTGTGTGGCACCGATGTTGAGTAACCCTCAAACTCACACAAAGCAACAGCAGGTTCAGGGGGGGATATCCATGGGACCACCAGACATGCAGAAGATTGCCAGGGCCTGAAGTGTAAGCCAAACAGGACACCCAGGCACTATGCCGGACCTAAAAGTAAGCCGACACAATCTGTTACAAAGCTGTGTCGCTGCTACACCAACAGCCACTAAACATTAGTACCAGCCACCACAAAGGAGTTGGAGGAGACAGACAGCCCTTCCACCAGCACACCTCGGCATGCTGAAAGGAAACCTGTGAACCACCAATGTGCCCCACCAGCCAAAACCACTTTCAACCCAGGTTAAGACAGAGTCATCACCAAACACCTTACTCCCCATGGGCGAGGGCCGCCACAAGTGAGGAGGACCACTAAAGGAGTGACCCCTGAACAATCCATAGAAGACAACTCTGGCAATGCAAGGGCAGTGCTAGGGAGTACATGTAGTCCCAAGCGCACTATATGCCAGGCTCACGCTACACTATAGTGCACAAGAAAAGCCACCAAGAGCAAAGACTCAAAACACTTAGCCAAAAAGTGGAGCCTGCACAGCAGAGAGGTGATTGGGAATCACTACAACAGTCAAGTGACCTTGACTGCATCAGCATAAGAACTGATAGTTCAGACCCTGGAGAGGGGGGGGGGTAAGTTTCTTCCCTCCCCTCCCCTCAAATGAATGGAGCAAATGAGCATACGCTAGTTTTGGGAGATTCGGTTGTTTGTTTACAAAGCTGGGGAGTTCATTACATGAGATGTAAGGCTTCAGTCTCTTTTGAACCCAGCAGACTGTTTGTTTTTTTGACTCGCCAACTATTTGTGTGTCTTTCCTGTTGAGGTGGCAGAAATGTCACCGCTCCCTATGCCTCTGTAATGGAGGCCAGGTTCTGGCTGTGGTCTCCGGTAGGCCTGAGAACTCCATTGCTGATGTGACCTGATAGATGGGAACCATCTCGGTGTATAGCTTCGGGGAGCCACAAGAAGTCAGCAGTTGTCTGTTCATGTACCCACTTGTAAAAAAAAAAAAAAAAAAAAAAACTTCCACCAGAAAAGAAGTATACAGTGCAGAAGATTGAGTTTAAGGAGCCTGGTTTGCAATATTAGAAATTAATTTTATGTAAATTGTTGATTATATAATAAGAATAACACACAAACAGCAAGATTACAGAAAGCCAGGCAGGTGATGGTAAACCTGATGTATGCATGACTAAATGTGTGCAGGTAACCTGGCAAAAAACTGGTGGGACATCAAGCAGCCATGGAAGCACTACGAGGGAGTGTATACCTTACCTTACAATGATGGCGCAGTTTTCTGCCTTCACTCACATGCTACTGGTGGTCAGCTCCACAATGTTATTTTACTGACTATGCATTAATCACATCTAAGTCTACTTTTCCCAAAATTTTGCCTGGGTCTAATGTATTTTCAAAAAGTGAATGTAATTTTCCTGAAGCCCTTTATTTATTGATGTGTAGAGGTGAGTGACATACCCTCCTTCCAAATTCAATAGAAATTAGCAATATACCCTTACCTTACTCTTGGAACCCAAAGGTAGTCAATATATTGATAGCAAATACTTCATGCACTATCTAAGAACTGTTGAAAAGTCTGGTAGAAATTCAACATTAAGTTGCACTGGGAAATAATGCTCTCATGCAGAAAAAATGCACCACATAATAATAATAATAATAATAGAGATGATATGTTGCCTTAAATATTGGAAAACTTTTTAGTACCTGCTTATATTTTAGAAGTTGTAAGCTTCTAAAATAAAAAAAAAAAGCTTCTTGTTGTAAGCACAGCATAAGTCACAATAACATGCCTGAAACAAATAACTCAACCAACACATCTGAAATCAAGTGAAAGTGATGATGTTTTGGTCCGTCCTGGACCCTTACTAAGTTATGATATCACTTGATTCAAGTTCATTATGCACTGATGAAAGAACACTTTCCTCTGAAATGAAGCGCTCTTTCACTTCATTTCAAATGTGTGGGTTGGGTTATTTATTTGTCTTGTTGTATATACCATATATAAGTACAGTACTGTACATTTAAATATAAATATAAAAAACAACAACAAACCTGGTGAAAATAATTTATAGATTGGCTCTGGAAGATACATCTCTGGCATAATGACTGCATTTACTTGAGTGGTGACCTCTTGAGGTTGGAGGGAAGTCAAGATATTCAGTTCTTGAGTTAAGGGATTAATGCTGCTAATAATTCCCCAGCCAATCAACTCTCCAAATCCAGTGTCTTCTGCCAGCTGCTTTGGATGGTTTGGACTTTGAGTGTACACATTATCATGACTGACTTGGCATAGTGCAACAAGCTGTGCATTCATTACCTGCAATATACATTCTCTGCGTATTTGGTGATTGCACACATGAAGGGCCACACTTGGCCATGGCAACTTAACTAAATTGGATGCATTATTTTTGGTTCCACCTTTGTCTCCTTGTGGCTGGTCTATAAAGCGGCCCACATGAGTCATTATAGCCAGATCTCGCAACACTTTAGGATTAAAGGAGTGGGGAGTATTGTGCATTCTTACTGCCGATGGCATGACGAACAGCCTGTAGTATAGCTCCAATTTATTAGTCTTGGTGACAATTCCACCATTTGCAATTGAAACGTCTTTACTATGTAGCTCAAAGGGAAAATTAATCTTTTTACGAGTGCTCTGTATTTGAACAACATGTGTTGGTTTAATGATTCGCAGAACGTCGAGCATAATGCTCAGACCTGTGCCTTGGGTCCATCCCATGGTATTAATAATTAAAGGTAATGATGATTGCTCTTGGCTAAGCTGATTCAGATATTGTACAGCAGCTATGTACCTGTGAAGCATAAACTGTGGATTTGTTCCACCAACTAACACCTGTTTCACATACGAAGCATAGTTCTCTATGCAACGAGCGTATGCTGGTCCAAGAAGTGGCTTTGTTATTCGAACCAATGACACACACGAGGGTAGTGAAAGCTCCGACTGTCCAAGATCAAGATCAAGGCACATAATTCCCATATCTGGCTTATTACTCAGCAAGCTGTTAATGATGTATTTAAAGAAGGTGGATTTGCCAACACTTTTTCCTCCACACACCACCACTCGAGGCACTGTGGAAAAAAGATAAGTAAACCCTAAATTATTTACATTAAACAAATATATACTGTACAGTATTCTGAAAAGTGGTACTAAGGTATTGTAGGATTTTGCCTGCCTGTCTGTCTGGTTCAAAAGTGGATAATTTTCTGGCAAAACTTTGCCATATCTGGACAGACATTTTGTTAATCGGAGATTAGGTTACATAAATTTTAAAATACTGTACTACACATTTTAAGATTTACATTATCTAACAAAGTCAAATTACAAGGTAAACCGAAGTTTCCATTTTAAATCATATTTTTCATATATATTGTAGTGTGTGGAAATTTTAATTATGTTGGTTGTGGTACAAAAAATTGAAATAATGGTCATTTTTGGATTTCCCTGGTAAGAATTCTACTTATCTGGTGAGAGGGTCGTTTCCATATAGACTGGATAAATGAACTTAGACAGTACATGGCAAGATTGTGGGAGAGGGTACTGAGATGGTCCGATTAGTTTAAACAAATCAATGATGAATCCCAGTTCTAACCATCATCATTTTACAATACATATTTTAGAAATGTTTGAAAATCATCTTTGCAGTTGTGAAACAAATCAACATTCAGGAAAAGGAAATCTGGGCAATGTTTCAATAAGCCATGGACCATTACTAAGTTGCAGGTCAACTTAACCATTAAGTTATTTGCAATTTCATAATGATCAAGGGCAGATAAAAATACTGCATACACATTTTCTTTTCAGTGGGAAGTTCCTACAGATTCATCTCACAGTATTATATATTTTATACTATCATATGCATTATCAATGTATATAAATAGTATTACATCATGTACAAAAAAAGCAACAATCTTACCATTGCCACAAGTCCAACAAGAACTGATTGCGTCCACCACATCATGCCAAAGAGATTCCTCTCTTGTAAGGAAATAATTCTTCCAATTCAATTTTGTTACAGGAGTTGCTCCAACATCACACCAGGGCTTGAGCCTCTCTCGGCACTCAAACAGACGGCCCCAGCCAAGCCGCGACAAAAATCTTGCAAATGGTGGAAAGCAACACTGTACCTCTAATATCAACAATGGTCCTCCCTGTAAAATGATTCTGTAGCTGAGTTTTTAATTAAAATAAAGTTGTGAAGAAATCCTACACTATCTTGTAGTTGTGAAGAAATCCTATACTATCTCATAAAAATATTAACTGTAACCACTGTATAACAATATTCAGTATATGGAAGAATCTATATGTATATATATAGCAACACCTATCCTAACATCACACCCATCCTTACAACTCTCCTCCTTTTCTATTCACTCACTAAATCTCTCCTTGTTCTTGACCGCCGTCTTTCTCTCCTCAGATTTCCCCAAACTGTACTTTCTTCAGCAACCTGCCATAACCCATTCACTACATGTACACCTGTGACATATTCTCTACATCTAACTACCATCAACTGTTAATTTGATATATATCTTTGGTACATATATATAGCGAGAGATATAACTTTGGTCTTTCAGGATGGGTCTACCCCCTGGCTGTAGTGGTGGTCTTACAGGGTGGGTCTACCCTGGCTGTAGTGGTAGTCTTATATCATTATGGATATAATATGAAAGTGTATATCTTCGGTACACTCTTACAAAAACAACATGTAGCCAGTGAGCGACAATAATGAAGCTGAAAATTAGACACCCAACCCACACATCTGAAAATAACGGAAGTGACGACATTTTGGTCCACCCTGAACCATTATCGAGTTGTATAAAGTGTTTGAGAAAGTCAATATGTAAAATAAGAATTTGAGGTGAACCTTACCTTACCTTGAAAGATGAGAATGTTAAAATATATTATAGGGGTTGAAGTATACCATAGAATGCAAGTTAAAAGACATGAAAGAATCATTTCCTTGGTATTATTAGAATGTAAAAGCATATTCTAACATATTACAGTAATTCCTGATACCTGTAACTTGTTGTAAGGAATAGGACAGCACAACAACAAAGAGGAGGGAGGGAGTAAGAAAGAGAGAAGAGGGGAACAGAGTAGGTGAATGTGATGGTGGAGACTTGGTAAAGTGTTGGTCAAGGTGGGTTAAGCAAAAAATAAACAAGACAATAAAAATCTATTCCTCCTGGGTAAACCTAACTATAAAAAACAAATGTTTTTGAAGAAGCAATTACCTGATTGCTGAAGACATCTTGGAGCCAACTAGTAGGCACTCTAGTGTCCTGAAGGTTGCTATCTATCATTCCAATGTTGCCAGCACGTACTGCACTGATCCCAAGTAAGGCACCGGAAGAAAGAGAATATATTGTCTGCATTTCTTTTTCCTTAAGTGTGTAGCCCAGCACTTTAGCATCGCCAAGTAATGGACAAATTCGGACTAGCCCATGAATATAGATGGTAGATCCGGGGGCAATAGCTGCCACAAGGGTATCTCTACTAATTGCAATAACATCCACAATCTCTCCTATGAACTCATGATACTCTGTTAATTCTTTTATAACATTTTTCCTTTTAGCTACATTCCTTCTTTGTAAACTCTCAGATCCTTCACTAAAGTTTTTCTGTTTTGTACTAGCATTTTCATCATTTATGGATCTGCTGTTCATTTGATCTTCGCCATCAGAGTCCTGCCATGTATTTAAAGATGGGAAGGAATTAGATGTATCCGAATAATGTCCCAAATCCTGGTTTTCATCACTGTCTCTAGCCACATGAAATGGCATCTCTTCAACACTGTTCAGAACATTCATTGAAGATCCAGCTTGGCACAACTCTCCTACTATATTTTTCCTCTGCAGGTTAGAATTTTCCATTAACTGTAGAGCAAATGATTCTGTGACTTTTTTAATTTGATTTTTCTTTGATACTTTGTTTAAACTACTGATATTTCCTTTTTTAGATTTCTTAAGTTTGGAAACTGATACTACCAACACTTTTTTAATTTTCTTTGTCTTCTTTATGCCAGAATTAGGGATATCAGACACCATGTTCTTTTTCTTGAGTTTCTTCTTGCGTGTACGAGGAAACCCCTTACTGGCTTCCGGCATGGTTAAGTCTGCAGATGTACCTTCCTTTATCTCCATGTGTTTAACATCTCTCGCTAGCTTCTTAAATGTATTTCCTTCAGACTTGGGATTATCAACTGCACCTGCAAGCTGTTGGGGCTCACATGTTGAAACACTCTTCTTCCTTTTCCTGAAAACACCAATTACATATTAGACAAACATCCGATCACAGAAAAATAAGTACTACTTATACTCAATGTCCCCATAGGGAAAGGGGTCTTACTTATGCCATAACGAAGTTTCAAATACTGTACAGTATATCTCCTTACATGCCCACATTAAACTTCAGAATGGTAGTTTCAGCAAATTCTTCTGATAACCCAAAACCTCTAATACTTTTGTGTATTCTTCCACAAAGACACCTTTTACATTGGCATTTCATCAACAATCATCCATCTTATATTCTACTGTGCAATTAGTTAAGGAAAATTGTGTATGATCAGTTTATGACTAAAGTCAAATTTGTAAACAGTTGCATTCCCTCTAAAACTCAAACTAGAGAAGGGCACAAGCAAAAACCAAAAAACCTTCAAAGCAGACTTACAAGGCCCATCTAGAGCAGAAAGCAGACTCTTACAATACTCATCTAGCTTACTCCACTATCTCTGCTCTCAAAAAAACTTTCACTAGTCTGAATCATATCTACAGACAATTAAATTCACAATAGTCGTATATCATAAACAAACACTACCCTTAACAAACTGCCAGTAATAAGCAATGTGCAAATGACTCATAACTCTGCAGAGAGCAAT